CTAGCTACCCTTCCCAAGGTCCTGCTGCTGGGTACGGGACTGAGAGCAAGAAGGTATGATGACATTAGTTGTTCATGCCGCTCAAGTGTGTCCCGAAAAAGTTGTGGATGTTGGAAATCGAAAGTCTCATTTGTTGCGAAGAAACTCGGGAGTCTACCTCCTACCTTGGGGTGGGGCTGTATCTCCTACCACAATGGTCCTATGAGGTGTATAGCTCCCTGAAACCCGAGCAGTTCGGCTAGACATATGCTGCTATCAGTATACACGAAGATGCTCCCAACTCCCATCTTCCAGCTGCCTTTTGGGAGCCAAGGAACCTCAGACGGAGGAGGTGGGCCGGGGGGAGGCGGCGCAGCATCCTGAAGGTACGGCACTCGCAACATCTGGGGGACAAGTAAGGCAGGGGATACAGCAGGAATCAAACCGTAGCGGCAACAACAATAGCAGTAAAGGTCCTTCTTGTACGCAGTGCTACTAGGAAGAACGGATCATTGCAGTTGTGTGCTTATGGCTTTGAGACACAGCAAAGGCTTTGACGAGGTGCCTCAAGATTGCACCTAACCCAGTGCCCTGGGCAAGAAACTCACATTCGAAACTCACAATGCCGTGTCTTTGCGCTCAGGTTTTGGTTCAAGAAGATGTCTCTCGGGTATGTTCGCAATCACATCACAAGTATGAGCAGAAGTCGAACCCCATGGCACCGCTGCCATTTGCTTGGGGGTCTGGAGCTTCAATACAGTATCTACAGCTCGAACTGGGGAATTGGGTTCTCCAAGCCCTAGAGGGCCAATTCCCAAACGTACCAGGTTTGCTTGCATGGCTGGATCATTCCAAGGTTGGATCTTCATGCACCTACCTCCAATATGATGTCATCCTTGTTTTAGGGACCCCGCAGTCACTTCGAGAAACTCTTAGCCGCTCTGCTCCTCACCAGGTCTCCAAAGAGAGCCAAAGGATTTATGAGAAGCCCCAAACGCCCAACATCCCCGTAGACACCGCTGCTTATCTTAAAGCATGTACAGATACGTACATACATCATGCATACATGTCTATTGAGATAACCCTTTCCCAGCCATTTCTGCTAGCCCTTCTGGCCCTGCTCGGACCCTTGCATAACTCTACTTGGAGGGTCATGGAGACTTAGTAAGTAGGCTAGAAAAGAGTATTAAGCTACTTACCAAGTCCCCCTGATCCTCCAAGTAGCACACCATGATATCACCCCAGTACGATTACCATCCTCGTAGATCATGCATGTTAAGTACAGAACTTTTACAACCCTTACATAATCCTAAGCCCCAATCACCAAACCTTGAACCCTCAGAATTGTGTAGCGGGCGTGCACCCAGAGTTTAACAAAATCTTAGCAAAGCCATAACTTTGTAATCCTTACAAAGCCACAATCATGTAACAGCCGTAATCCTAAAGCCTAAAACCCTAAACCACAATCTTGAACCTAAACACTACAAAGCAAACCCTAGACCCTAAAACCTTAGCCCCCATCTCTAGACCATCGGGTAATCCTTGCGCCACCTAAAGTTCCTAAAGATTGGTCCCAAATAGTTTCCATGTTCTTTTCCTATGTATTCGCATATTCCCTCCCCCCCCTCCCCCCCTCTCCATGCCCGCCTGCGCTGCAGAACTGGAAGACGGCGACGCTTGAGCTGCCTCCTCCAAGGAGCCATCGAAGGGTTTCCAAAACTCAGAGGTCCATTTACAAGGAGTCATGGGATTATACAAGGATACCTAGAGATATCCAGAATTTAGGGCTTAGAGTTGCCAAAGTCAGGGGTCCCTCTTTGGGAGTCCCGATAATACGGATTAGAGTACGAAGGGGCTCTTACTTTTGCACACTCCCTTTTCGGGGGTTGTGCAAGCTACTGGGAAGGCTTGGGGCGATTGAGGACCCTAGTCTATATGTGGATTCTATGCATTTTGACGGTTGTATAGGGATCAAGGCAGAGATGTACATGTATACATACATGTAGACATATACACATGTATTCACGTGTACATGGTGAGCCCCCCCCCAACAGACCATTGTTGCGCATAAACTGCCCTTGTGTGTTGCCCCCTTCTTCGGCTGTTCAGACTGCTGTCTCTCTGTTCCTACAATACTGCTTTAGGTGGCCATGTCTGGTCCAGTCCTCGTGCATTCTCATTTATCAAAAGACATGATGGCTTCTAGATTCCGTGGGCGGAATTTATTGCAACGACCACACAAACAAAAGAGACATCGAAATAAACAATGGGATATCTGCGTATCTCTCACCGTGTATGTATGTGTGTATGTATGATAAACGTAGGTATGGGTACGTGTCAAGTTCAGGTTTTCTGTTGGGGGGTAGGCAGGATTTTTCCCCTGAGGGGCAGAGATTCTTGGAATCCTGGGTGCCTCTTAAAGAGTTACACAGAACACAGACGTACTGGTGTTAGTAGGAAACCAGGGAATATATCATGCAGGGACTATAGGGATTATATTCCCGTATTCCCGACTCACCACCTGTAAGCAAAGGGGCATTTGGCCAGAATGCAACACTTGATGTGGTTTCCTGGTGGCTTTGCATCTGCAAGCGATATATGGGACTGCAGATTTGTGCGGTTGAAGGCCCACTCTTCCGCTTATTTCTGCCTACACAAATATGGCCTTTTAACTGCAGAAGACCAGCGGGCCACATACTGGTGTTCCTGACCCAAGAATACCATCACTTCAGAGCGCATCCGTTTCCCGACTGGCCTATACTGTAGAGGGTGTACCCCTGCACTTTCCAGCCATCATGGAATTGCGTGCGAACTAAAGCCTCCAGAAATCTTGCTGCTCTGGAGGTTGGAGCTTAAAAACATAGCCCCAAAAATCCTGCATCCTAAGCCGGAAAAAAACAGGACCCGCCTCCCCCCCCAGCGCATGCATTCGCTCCTGTCAGCAGGGTGAGGCTGCACGTTCATCCAAGAGGCCTTCTTTTGCAACCCAGAACTGGATGGCAATTGTGAGCTAAATCAAAGTGCAAATGCCAATGTTACATCCTGCATGCTTGTAGTTACCAAACTGCGTGCAACAGTGGTCGTGCAAGATAAGCCCTTGAAGTCCACCTGTCTCAGACCCTTGGGCAAGATATGATATACCATAGGGAGACTGGATCTTTATGAATACTACTTGAGGCTCGCATGCGAGCGTGCAAACACAGACCCGGCAGGTGTCCTTCAAACACTACTTGTTCTGAACCTGAAATTATGTGTCGTCGACTGATCAACACTGGAACTTTGAAACCCAACTGCCGAGCCTTTTTCCTGACCATGTTTGCTCATCACAAGTGATCCCCAAACCCAACAAAACTGGCAGGCCAGTACCAAAAGCAGTAGTCAAAGATCTGAGATGCATCGTTCTATGAGGAACGGGGGTTATTATATGACGAGCTGGCAGACGCTTCCCGCCTGGCTGAGCCTGACACCCGAGATCTGAAACCACATAGCCATGAGCCTGTTAGCCTAGAACCCGAAGATATTGACCGGCGGTTTGGGTCATGCCTCTCAAGTCAAACGCCTGATCCCATGAAGTATCTTGGCGGCCTCCTCCAGCTGCAGCGACAAGACCAGGGCACGCTCCAGCTCATCCTGGTGGCAGGACGTACCATCAAGAGGGTGCTGACGCTGACTAGACTAGAACTAGTAGCAGCATAGGAGGAAGCGGAAGAGGAAGATTCAGCCGTAGCACGTGTGCGAATGTGACAACTATAATCCCATCCATCGACGCTGAAAGTTGCTTGCGGAGCCTCCTCCTTCTGCCTTTGGCGTGCAAGCTCATCATCAGCCTTCTGGGATTCATCGAGGGCCTGCTTACTGCAATCGATAAAGGCTTTACAGCTTGGGGTTCAAGGGCTTTGGACCCTGCGCGTGTTGTTTGAATAGGTCTGATCGGTTGGCAGCTTTGGCTCCAGTGTTTGGGCCCCCGTAATTGGCCCTACATCAGCTTAGTTTGATGATCGGCTTGCGTTGCGGGTGATGCGCATTCCAAAATGATGGCGCTGGGTTGGCAGGCTGTCTGCAGAAGTGGGGATTGGCTTGGGGACCAGGAGTCTAGGGTCAGGTTTTGGAATATCAGGATTGAGCAGCACATCTCACACACTACACACAAGAAAGCACCGCACTGTCAACTTCGCAACAAGCTCACCTTGAACCTACGTCCTCAGTTTGAACTTGTGACTGCTAAACTTGTCAGCCGCGACAAAAGCCTCATCTTCTAGTCCGAAACTCTATAAACGGTCAAATTTTGGCGCTCAGACTCTATTCAAGTGAGCTGGAAGGCAACGACCGACAGCCTGGAACAGCTGGTCCTGGTGCAAGGGCTGCTTTTGGAGCTGTAGTCAGGGGGTAAAGTGTTTGGGCTTTGGGGGACTATAGGCCCAGCACTTGTGTTCAGTCTTTTGCATGTATACCAAAGGGCCACTGAAATCCTGACTGAATTGCACTGGCGCCCTTTCGACCGGGAAATCTCTTCTCGTTGAAAAACACGCTTTCCGGCAAAGAGTTTCCACTCAAATGTGCTAAATGCGTCCGTCGATCTGCGAATACAGACAAAATGGCAGGAACTACAGTATCAGTGCAGTTTGTGATCAACATAAACAATGTAAAACCACCTCTCCATGTTGAGAAAGCGCTCAGAGAAGCTGTTGATTGAATGCAGCATTGGTGGAGCAACTCGGAGCAACAGCAAGCGCAGGCGCAAGTGAATGCACAACCTTTGCGAACGAGTGCAAAGGGACAACTTCCGCGACTTGGACCAAAATGCGTGCAATCATCTGGGTCATTGTAATGTATCGAACAGGAAGATAGGAAAGAAGGCTTGAAGCCGGGAATGCGGACAAAGCACGAGAGAACATGGGTTTCGTGAATCCAGCGAGCAGACCAACAAACGGTGTGAGAGAGAGAGAGAGAGAGAGAGAGAGAGAAGAGTCTGGATACCGGTTCTCAATTTCAGTTCCTGAATCTCCCGTTCCGTCCAGATCCTAGTTTCCCCATAGGTCCTCGTAAAGCTTCCACTCGTCCGCAACTAGGGAAGCTTCCACAGTCATCTGCCCAATGCCACCGAGGACTTCCTGTGGCAGGCGAGCATTTTGCCGTCGCCAAGTCAAGGCGAAGCAAAATCTCAGGAAAACCCGAGATGAAACAATGATTCCCATACTCCACAACCATTCCAAGCGAGGTGTTAAGGCATCTGCTGAGGGCTCATATTCAACATCCTAGTTTCCACCAAGCTGCTGACGCTCATTACCTTGGATGATTCTTCAAGTCGCCGTTTGTCTGTCGGTGTAGACATTTGGGTTTCTACTGTCGCAGGCTCAGGCTGTAAACCTCTCGGTAAACTTACCAAAAACGAGTGGCAGGTCACCTCTGCGAACGGAGCAATGGCTTCGAAATAGAATTCCCACCATCCGCTGGTACTGAAGGAGTCGAAGTCTGCTTTACCATGTAGACCCCGGTCTCAAGTGGGTGAGACTCGGCATAGATACATGGGATGCACACCCAAAGCCCAACACCTCTACCGCTCCTGAAATACCATGGAACCCCACATTGGCACTGTCAACTGTTAAAGGGCAATAATACTTGCACGTGGCGTGCAACCTTGCGGACGCTGTACAAAACACTAAACCAACCAAGCGTTGTCCAACAAGATGTGTATATGTACATATACACATATATTATATACATATACATGCGTATGTGTATATATAGAGTGTTTTGTTTAATCCTCCTGACAGACGCCAAGAACTCAAAGAAAGGAGACCCCTGTGCGCGGCTAGAAGAAACTTTGACATCTTGGCCCTTCATGAGGTAGTACATCTACTTTGTCCATTATTCGAAACATCCCAAGATCACCCAGCTGTGTCCTCCTCATCATCGACCACGGTAGTCTCTTGAAAATCCTCCTGGTGCCAGGGTGAGTGGCACTTGGAGAGGTGATTCTAGGGCATGGAACTCCGACACAAACTTCTTTGCTCAATCATTCACAATGTTTGCAATAAGGGGCGCAGTGTCAACCTGTAGTCCCTGCCCTAGAAGAAGTGTCTCATCATTATTTTGGACCACGCGGAAGAAAGGACCTGTGGCCCACGCAACTACCCGAGTGAGACCCACATGTTACACACAGATCACTATGTGCTTCATCAAACACAGACAAGCTACATGCAGGGTTCCCAAAATGGTGCGGCTCTCTCCAATGTGGCCGCTGGCACTCAAGCAAGGAAATCACTTGTTTTATCATTTCATCCTGCTGGCCTTTGCAAGTTCTTGGCTCCCAAGCCCGAGCAAACTCAGGCTCATGCGGCCAATCCTGCTGTGTTCGACTCGCACATACAGGAAGCAAGTCTGCCATTCGTAGAGGTAGCCACGGAAGCATAACAGGTACAGCTGCAACACCTATTGAGGTTCCCAAATATCCCCATTCTCTGAAATTCCCACGGTTTGAGGGACTCAAAGTGATAAAGAGAAATTGGGGTCCCCTGCAAGCTCCAGAAGACGATAATCCACACTCTAAACACCCTCAAGAAAGGATCGAAACCCACATTTGGACCACTACCACCGCTAATCCTCGTCGAGCTGGCCAGCATCCACGCGTCTTTGGGCCTGGCGCAATCTGGCCCTAGTGTTGAGGTTCAGGAATTCCGGTCTAAATTTTAAGGTTTAGGGTTAAACACTGGCAAAATGCTGGCATTGGATGACATTGGTGTGTACAGGTTGGGCACCACCCCCTGCCATAGTAGTATATAGCACACCTGTCATTGCAAGAGCAAGGTGACTACCATTTCCGCATCTGAGGACTGTTATCTTATGGGAGCAGCATCCAATCTTTGGTCGCATCTTGCGGACACAAGACCTGGAGAATTATGCTCCTGCATTTTACTGGGCGTGGTACAATTGCAGCCTCTCCCATTCTGACAGGGATGAGGTAAGTAGAGATTCGGGGTAAAGCTCTCGCGTGAGGTTCTCCATCGGCAAGCACTTTCATACCCGGTGGCGAGCGAGAAGTTGATGCATGACGGGCTGTCCTAGTCGTTCAAAGCCGAGAAGACTGAGGGCTTCTCCGCGCTGGACAGTCCAACCAATCGCTCACTCTCTTTCCAGAGCATTTTCCACGTGTCTGTGTCATATGAGGTTGCGGGCTTGTCCGTTTCGGGCGAGATGGCCTTGAAGAGTCGGGACACGATTCGCAACGCCCGCAGAGGCGGAGGTAGGAGGCCCTGCACCTCAGTATCCAATGAGGCGGAAGGGCGGCCCTCCTGCCAGTAATGCCCTGACATCTTGCCCTGATCCGAGGTTGCAAGCAGAAGGGTAGTTCGCGCACCCTCCTCGGGGCTCTGCACGATAAGATCCAGCAGAGGCTGCACGACAGACTTTGCAGCCTGGTATGCTCCTTCCAGTGGCCCCTCTGCAGACTCTTGATTCTGCGGAAGATGGCGCTTCAGCTCTGTGGCCACAGCCCCTGGATGGATGGCATTCGACGCTATGGGGATGCCACCAACGCGACAGCGGCGATCCAGCTCGTAGGAGAAGAGCAGGTTGCAAAGCTTGGCCTGGCCATAGGCCTGCCATGGGCTGTACTTCTCTGACTGTAGGTCACCTAAATCGCCCGTCTGCAGCAGTGAGGGTATCAAATGCGCTGAAGAAGAGAGGCTAATGATGCGACCAGGGTCTCCTGGTGAGGCTGTTGTGGCCAGGCGGTCCAGGAGCAAGTTTGCCAGGAGGAAATGGCCCAAATAATTCACAGCTAGCTGGTATTCATGCCCGTCTCTGGTCACTTGCCTTGATGGCAATGCCATGACACCAGCGTTCAGCACCAGGCAGTGCAAAGGCACTTCTAAAGCCAGGAAACTGTCAGCAAAGCTGCGAACAGATGCCAATGAGTCTAGTTCCAGAGGCATGTAGCGCAACTCTGCTGCACCAGCTGATCCATACTGCCTGATGCTGTCTAATGCTTTCTCGTGCTTCTCCTGGCTTCTGCCGGCGAGGATGATCAACCGGAAGTCACCAGACTCGGCCAATGCTTTGGCAGTGGCGAGGCCCAAGCCGGTGGAAGCGCCTGTAACGATTGCAACACGTCCAGGACCTGGCGTGGCCTGCTGACTGGCTCGGCTTACAGTGGTCCAAGCTTCCCCATGAGGTTGCTGCAGCCAAAGACACGCACCCAACAACAGCAGTTGCAGCAGTCGCTGCGATCTCGTCATGGCTGGTATGCAAACAGAATTATTGGCTGGCATGCATGCGGAATTGCTGGACCGAAAACCTTCCATCATACAAAATACTGAAAAGGAATGCTTCTCAGCTCTGAGCTGACGGTAAGTAAAATCTAAGTTTTCAACTACCTTGGTTGTAAAGACAGCAAGCCGTCAGCTGCGGATAACAGTTATCTGCAAGCACTACCCTGTCGGCATGTACAACAATTAGTCCCAGGAGCACTGCGGAAAAGACCAAAGAAGACTGATTCACGAGGGCCAAGCTGCCTCTTCTCATTTTGAGCCCCTGCTTTCATGTAGTCTTACTCATACATTATCGTGCATCTCCCAATTACAAACTGCTACCCTTCTGCCATATGTCGAACGATCGCTGCTGTAAAGCCAGGAATAACAGTAGCAAACAACAGTTAGAAGTATAAGCTTCAAAACCTGCACAACAAATTGCTCCCTCAAACTTCAAAAGCCCCAAAACACTAAAGAATATTGGGTAGTGCGCATTCTCCCATCCTAAGGCAGGTTCCTTAATCAAGGAGCATCGGGCTGCATGGGCACCCCAAACCCCCAGTCAAACCCCGGCAAGCAACTCATAACTAGAATCGTCTCATGTTAACTCATAAGTTTTGAGACCCCCACATTGGACTGGAAGGTGGACCGGACTGACCGGCCGCCAACACAACGAACAAGAAGACCCTCACAAGGAAGACCAGCAACAACAATACAAGTTTAAGTGCTATTCATTTTAAACCATGCAAAATGGCTGCTTCAAATCCTGTATATAGTTCCATTCTCTTTTCCATTATGCCTATAAAACCCAATATGAACCCTCTAGAATATATAGTCCCATATAAGCCCTATACAATCCCAGAAGCACGTCTTGCAATCTAGGGAAGTACCTGATAGCCTCCCCTTCTGCACACAACCTCCGGAAGCAACATGTTAAGCCTTCATGGCTACGCGGACTGGTGATTAGTAGGAACTAGAGGAATACAATCCCTATTTATTCCGAATATGACCATATATTCCCCCTATTCCCTTCAGTACTAGCCACTAGTAAGTTCGGAGCTATGCTGGGGCACTAGAGTTCAACTAAGGCCCGCAGCTACGTCTGGATCAGAGGCGAAGATCTTGAGAGACTGCAGGGCTACACTCCTTTGAAACAGGCGCAGCCCACTTGGCGGCAACTTGAAACACAGCTAAGGCCGAACTCACGGGTCAGGCATTAAAAGCCAGCATCTTCCAGAACGTTGTTCATGCGTTCAATCTGCTTCTGGAGTTGCACCTTCCGTTCTTTTGGCGTGTCGGCGTCGCGCTCTGCCTCTGCGATGACAGCCTGCAGAAAGCCTCCTTCTTGCAAAAGCTCCCAAATCATTTTTTCCATAAATCTTTGGGGTCAGGTGTTGCTTCTCTGGAGAACTGCATCGCAAGCCTCTCGCAGTGGAAGCCACATAGACCGCGGACACCCAGAAATCCGAACTTGAACATTCTGACTGCTTTCTGCGCCGTGGCTGATCTTCTGAAGAAGTTCACGTTCTCGATGCGGTCATCAACCCCAGTATCGAACAATGTGTTCATGAAGGCCATATCTAACCCGCGCGTGTTTCCGTCTCTGAGCTGGAACTGGAGAACCTTCTTTCCCATGTGTACAAACGCGAAGCCTCTTCTGCCCAGAGGCGGAAGAATTCTGTGTTTGAAGATTGTTCTTTTTTCTCGCGTGATCGGCTGGAAGGTATGGATGTTCACATCCAAGTCTGAACTGTACTTGACGGCAGTACCGGTGCTATGTGAACCAGCTATGCAAATCTTGGTCACATACATGTTTGCATAGCCAGCAGCTGCCTTGATCTCCTTCTCGAGCCATGAAGGCGTGCTCGGCGGTGGCACTTCGATGGCATCAGCAATTGCATCAAAATTGTCACCGTGCCAAATCTCTGCAATTCTCTCTGCTGGCGACATGTCCTTCAGAATCTCCTCACTGTTCCCCGTTGCTGCGCAGCGCGTGCTTGAAACTGCCCAAGGTCTTGGCTTACCAGCCCTTGCAACCTGTCGCCAAGTCGGGCAGGATAAGAATGTCTGCGCACACATGAAAATGGCGAAGGGAAGCAGCAGCCATGGAGCCCTGAGTCGGGGCATTACTGACACAAAGCTTTCCTACAATGGACAAGGCGAAGGCTCGAGTCTGAATTGCACAGATTCCCGAGTATCTCTTACCACATGCAGAAAAAAAGACTGCCCTGGTCTAGGCAGAACTGTACACAAGACTGAGCTAAGGTCAGCTTACCTTCTTACTGGTAGGTCACATCGAGCATTTGATCATCGAACGGGGAACTTAGAGTCGAAGAATGAGCGGCTTAATTACAGCTGACCATATCGGACTGTTGCACGATGCGCAGGAACCAAAAGCTTAAACTTCCCAGAAAATACCATCGCGAACCCCCAAACAAGCCTTAAGCCATGATGCGTAACCTTCCCGCCCTAGCGGAAGAGTCTTCCCCGTTGCACAAGTGGCAACATTGCGGTCTACTCCAACTACTGAAGCGGCGTTGGCTTGTACAAATGCAAAAAGGCTACTGTAACGCCTGTACCATGGAGCCTACTCTAATCCCTGCTAAGCCTGACCCCTTTGTCCAACATAGAATACTGGCTGCAGCATGCTGGAAACGTTCCTCAGGCAGGTCTTTTGAAACTCCCTACAAACCCCTCGCAGTCTACACGGTTTCCAAATGGTCCTGTGTTCTAAGGTTGGAGATCCCGTTTTGATTCCCATGCGCGCCTCTCGGTAAAGATCAGCATTCCGCTTTGTCATCATGGCCTTCGCACACTTCATATGGGCTCCTCCAGCTTGGTTCCCTCATTTTGGTCTGACTCAGCGATACTCCTTCCAAGCACTGGGCCATTAACCCCGACAGCACCCCTGCATGTCTTCCCGCCATGATCATGTGAGCTGTAACCACAAAGGTCTTTTCACTTCAGCGGTTCCAGCAATGGCTTCCTGAGATATTCAATGCTAATATCTTCTTGCGGCCATATCTAGCAATGTGGCTTCCCCATTCTCTTAGTATTTCTGGATGCTAGCATTCGAATGACTATTTGTATTCTCCTGCGTGCAATTGCCTTCCTCTAGATCAAATTACTTCCTACCTTCTAGGACGGATCAGATGTACAGTCCTGCTCTTAAATTCCCTTTAAGGCGCACCTTGCGAGCCCCAGAAATCATTGCCCCCTTAAAAACCACGATCGTGTCTGCGCAAGCCTTGAAGATGAGGAAGTCGTCCACTGCTAAGAGCTGCTCCACCAGGACACGGTGCAGCGCCGAACTGAGGACAAAGGACGGTGTGAGCTGTGTATGGGGATATGCCGACACACATTTCGGGGGCCATAAGGTTTGGAAACTGCCAAGTCCTTCCTTTGAGAATGTTAAATGTAAGTTTCTTGAAGATAGGTTTCAGAAGTCTACGGGTCAAGACAAAGCTTTCTAGGCATTTCTCGCCGCATTAAAATACATTGGACGTGTAGCTTTGCAGAAGTATGTGTCTGGGCTTAGGAATCAGGAGAGGGCTGCGACTACAACATCCACTTCACACTACATCAGACCAGGCCTGCATGATGACCCGGTGCATTGTGGACTGTGGAGGTTCTTAATTCAGAATGCTAGGTTGGGCACGTGGGCTTGGGCTGAGAGAACCACGCGAAGCACATCGGAATGGGCGGGCTGCACAAACTGATATGGCAGCGCGACAGCAGAAGCAGGTCTCAGGCCCTTATCTGGGAGCCCAAAGAAGATCCCTTTTTTGACTTGCCTTTACTTCGAGCTTTTATTGGTCCTGTGCCACCTTCACACCCGGTTTGTGCCGAGCAGCTTCGTAGACAGACCCGTCTGGCAGAACTGCTCGAACCTGAAGATCTGAGAAGTTGTCTAAATCAGTTTTCCGAGTCTCTCCAAGTCTGTTGAATGGCTCCCCTAGCACGCTCAAATTGCAGTCCAGTGAACTTGGACCACAGCTGCTGCTGGGTGGTGTATGGATCCATGATGCTGTGAAAATCGTCACCCCCAGATGTTGAGGCGGGAAGAACAATCATTATAATTTTCTACTCCTTCAACTGCGCATCCCAAAAAAGCAGCCAAGAATGACGGCGGGCTGGGACGTGTGTATGGACATGGGATTCACAAGGCTCTATTGCAGGACAATAAACTAAGCCTTTTCGAGCCTAACCACTTTTGCTTTTTTCATGACTTTGGTCGCAAGCACCTTCGAATCACTCTGACAACAATCTGCTGTAGGTTATTTGAGAAAATCTTTAAAAGTGGAAGGTCAATACCAGGAAAGCGGGAACCCAGCTTAACTTACTGGTGGTTAATAGGGAATAAGGGAATATAATCCCTTTTTACTCCCCATATAACATATTCTCTTATTCCCTACCAACCCCCAATATATACCCTACTATAATGCAGTAGCTTCCATTTTCTTTTCCAGTCTACCTATATAACCCCAACATATTCCCTTTTTCCTTTCTAACAGCCAGTAATTTAAGTGGCGCAAGCTGTACAAGTTGCCTAGAAATCAGCGGCATGATGCCACACCAACCCGCACGCACATGCCCTGCTTGCCATGAAGGCGCGGCTTTCTGCCTCCCCAAAAAAGTCGGACTTTCTTGGTATAATTGAAAAGAAAATGGAAACTACCATAATGGATTATATCAGGTTTAAGGATAATGGAAAAAAGAAAATGGAAACTACTAGGTTATAATAGAGTATATAATGGGAGTTGGTGGGGAATAAGGGAATATATCAAATTAGGGGTCTCCTTCTGGGGAGGAGTTTTCGAAACGACCTCGTCAAGCTCCTACTAAGACGCTGAGGCTTTCAGATTTCTGAACCTCTGCTACACAAGCACAGCACCCCAATCCTTTGGGTTCCAGACTGTTCGTTGGTGACGTCCAGTTCCAGCAGATGCGCCGCCAGGAGGTTGTCTGAAAGCTCACTTTTCCATGTTTGGGGTTTGCGGATTGAGGGATGCGATGTAGCTGCAGCGCGCAAATGTCATGCCAAAACGTCTGCTTTCAACTACCACTCATCGAAACAATCGGGCCTATGAGCTGCCGAAACTCATTGTGGCACTCGGTGTACTCCAACTTGTTCTCCTCCTGGGCTTAGTTGCAAAAGACGTGTTGAGACCGGAATCTTTGTTCAGCAAATTTGGACTCGAAAAACTTTTGTACTGTCGGAGGACATGAATGAGCGGCAACGATCAACGGCATAGCCTTCCAAACATTGCCTTCTGGGAACCCAAGCAGACGAAGCTTGTCATGGCGAAGTGTGTAACCTCCCATACTATTCTTGCCCATAAGAGCTGAGCCTGCACGATTCGCTAGACCGAAGCAGAACGCTGCATGTGGATCCCCATCTAGGACAGAAGTTCCAGACCAGTCTGAATGTGAGAATGATAGCTTTCGTTTTCGCTGCTGTTCTTGACATTGCTATGATTTCTTACTATCCCGAGAGGAAACAGCGCCTGATCCTCGAAGATGATGCACTGCTCATCCACAAACTGAGCGATCGGGGCCACCCAGGAAGGCGATCTGCAATGCAATGGGGAGCCAGGCGTAGCCACGCACTCTCAGGTGTCACAAACCTTCCATGGGCCTTGCCCTGCATTGCACGCAGTCACGCCCGATTTTATTACTCGACAAGCGGATGGTCTGTACGGCCGCTGCATTCATAGTCACACTTCAACCTGTAGAACTTCAAACAACAAATGCAATTGCCAAAGGACCGGAAAGCAGCTGCTTTTCTGCGGCTTCTTTTGAGGGCGCAGCCAGGCTGAAAATTTGCTTGTAGCTGAAAACTTTCACATAAGCACGTGCTGGCCAGAGGGCACGGCAGCAAAGACCGCTTCTGTACAATTAAATTAAAGCACGGCGCAACAAGTGATTTTGCAAACACAACTGCGAACGAACCAGAGTTGCAGGTGAAGCTACGAACTTTACATCTCGAGAAGGCTGTATTCTGTGAACGCCCAAAAAGCTATGGTTGCTTCAAGGGCTCCCTCACGCTTCCAGAGCGGATGCGTTCGCAGCTTCAAGCTCCTGTTGCACAACACAATGCTTCCAAGAAAAAACTTTGAGTTTCAGAAGGTTTTCTTGGAAGTGTGCCGACATGATGGTCCAAAATGTACTTTCTGGCGGCAGCATGTACCGACCACAATTTTGGCATGTACCCAGCTCTGGCTTGCTAATTTCGCGACTTGCAGCTTGTGATTCAAAGGACTTTGGATTAAGACGATATAGAAGCTGCGATCAACAATGTGCAAGAAGGCTCATGGAAGAGTGTGTCAAGTCCATGGGATGGCTCTGTCGTCTGTGGAGTCTGTGGAGCAACTGCAGCTCAAACCATCCCCAGGTCCGAAGCATACTGTACCCGACATCACAACCCTCACCACCACCATTAGAAGATTTCTGCTGCGACTCAGGCTTGTCCTACAACTTCTGCCAAAGCGATTCCTCCCAGCAGGTCTTACTGTGCTCATAGCTCAATGCAAGCCCAGTCCTGCCCAAAGTTAGCAATCCGGTCGTCGGACATCATGTTAAGGTCCGGCGCAAGGAGCTTTGTGTACCGGTCAAAGTAGAGGGACTGCCCCCAGATTGAAACGAAAGGGTAGCAGGACAAGCAAGGGTGTCAACATGTAAGTCTGGTTGACAATGGATCTGGGGGCTGGGTATTCCTCCAAATTGACAAGAGGGAAAATTCCGGGAGAGCCATTGTGCGTGTAGCGATGACAAACACGAAGTCTCGCACGGAAGTTGATTAACAGAGACACCGAAGCTTCAGCGTAGCTTCCTTCTGAGCTCTACCCGCAAACCCGACGGCTCACATCCTGAAAGGCATGGTCTCCACACAGTGTCAAATAACGGAAGACGGATCATCGCTACTCCGAGACACCTCGTGTGCTCAACACGGAATGACCATGCACCATCAAATCTTGAAAATTCCCGAAAGAAGGGTCATGTGATTTCATAGCTTCCCACCACAGCGATAATCTGAGAGTTTACCTGACATACTGTTCTATTAGGAGAAGTCAAGGTACAGGCGCATACTATGACCGGGGCCCAAAAACGGATGACTTTTTGTCTATGTTAGAGACATCTCCCTCTGCCAGACCCTAACCTCCTGAAAATCTACCCCGCCTGCTTAATGAGAAGACCGAACTCACGCGGCAGCTTCAATCCATTGTTTCCGGCAACCTGGGCCAATGTCGGAGCCTACTATTCAAGCCTTACAACCGAAGGAATGTAGATGTACGGGATCACTGGAATGGTTTTGGAGTCGCTGAACAAAGTATTTTTTAGTATGTAAAGGATACAAATAAGTCTAAATCTAAAGGGGTCATGAGGGTAAGCAATTGGGCTTCCATGTTAGCACTACGAGTGCCTTTTGGGTTGTTACCTGAGATGATAGGTTGGCTAACCATTGGGCAGGCAGCCACAAAACTCTTCGAATTACACAAGCTGCTCTCAGAACTCCAAGATACGACAAACTGTTACACACCACACACACACACACACACACACACAACAGCTACACACCCTGCCTGAGCAATGTCCAGGACAATGTCCTCGAGAAGGGGAGGGGCGCAGAACTCCAGGTTCGGGGATGTAGTGATTTGGGGTTCAAGGCGCTGGGATTTAGGGGCCAAAGACAAGAGGCTGAACCTAGAGATGGCTTGGGCCTGTGGCAGCTCACTCAGTCTTGGTACCTTGGTACCTATGGTATGCTAAACTTGAATTCGCTAGCTCGGCACTGCTTAGTCTGCGGATTAAACTGCTAACGTTGAACCCTTAACACGCATCGGTCAGTTGGAGGGCCAGCCTGCTTGAAAGCATCTTGTACCTTACACACGATTTGTAAACTCCAACCTGACCCAAGCCCAACCCCTTTCAGCTCGTCTGCGGCACTAGTGGCGGACTGTAAATGCGCTCATAGAGCGGTTGAACACTGAAGAAATCTAGGCCCCTCCCATCCTAGTCCGCAAAACTCTGACATGTAAACCGTCCTGGATCTTGGACTCATCAACAGCCATGTCTGTGGTGTTGTCGAGAGCACCCCCTGGCGCACAGGCGCTTAGTGGTACGACGAAATTGAGCTCATCTACCCCAAAATGACTCGATGATTCAAAAGGCAGCAACAAGCCCACAAGGCTGAGAAATAGGCATAGGCCAACCTATCTAGACCAAGAGTCCCTGGCGCTTTTTAATGCAGCTGTGTCAAAAACGAAGAACCAAAGAACATCTTCCAAGCATCTGGTTTTACAGCACTGGGGGTCAAGGTTGGGGATTAAGTGCCCGAGGAGCCACAGTCCTGGGCCTGAAACTGCGGATGCCTAAGACACCCACAAAGGATCATTACAAGCAGCACTGAGAGATGGAACAAAGTTCGGACCCATACCCCTTTATCAGCTTCCACATGGTGTGAAGTTCAGATCCCAAACATTGGGCTCCCTTACAGCAGAAGAACCTCTTTTCCAATGGACATCCCTTTATCTCTCAAACTATGCCTGCACTGTCTGCCCGTAGGCCATATTTATCTAAATGATCCCATCATTCCCCGAATGTGTTCCATGCATCGTAAACCCTTAAAGACTTAAATAAGTAGCCCCCAGCAGGCGCAAGGCGCGCACCAAGAGAGGAGATCAGGTTCTCAATGTCTGCGGCAAAGGCCTCCTCATTGACCTGCCAAACAGACCAAAAGTTGAGGGTGTAGGGCCTTATAGGGTGTATATTGGGGCTATAACGGGGCAATATTGGGGTTATATGGGGTATATATTGGGTTATCCGCCGACCCCTGGGGCC